CCATCCTCGTGGCCTCCTTTGGACACTCTCTAATGGTTTCAGATCTTCCTTATACTGTGGTGCCAAAAACTGCACCAAAAAAAGGTGCTGTGCCCAGTGCAGGTGACACGGGTGGCTTTGGGGTCACTGCCTGGCAGGTGGAGTTCTCCTGCTGCGTTCAGGCCGCCGAGCTAAGGAGTCTCTGGGGTCACTCATGCCCATTCCTCTCTGCCCCCTTTGGCACACAGGTGAAAGACCTTCTGGAAGAGATGCTGGAGAAGCTGAGTGAGGAGTTCAACATGGCAGAGCTGATGGCCAGGGTGGAGCAGAGGACGCCCTACGCTGTGGTCGCCCTGCAGGAGTGCGAGCGCATGAACGTCCTCACCGGGGAGATCAGGCGCTCACTGCTGGAACTGGAGCTGGGCCTGAAGGTGGGACTGCTGGACAAGCCTGGGGAATGGTGCTCAGGGAACGGAAGGGGTCTCAGGGAGTAAAAGTGCTCACGTGCTGCTGGCTGCAAACCCATCTTGGCTCCATGGGAAGGGCTCACAGATGGATTTGAAACGGCACGGTGTCCTCAGGCAGGGGGAGGGATTACACAAACAGCACTGCCTGTGCTTTGGGAACACAGAGCAAGCACTTCTGGCCACCCCATATTGTGGCACAGCAACAGCAGGTCATTTAGAAATTGGGACGTGGCCTATTTAAAGGTGAGCCAAAAATCACACCTTTTCATAAAATGTTCAGGTATGGGGGAAATTGGAACACAGTGTCTTAGAGGCACAAGCTGGGCTGAAATAAAAGAATTGGTTGTGTATGAGGACACAAAATGTTCAGAACTGTAAGAGAAAAAGCCTAAAACTGCAAGTTTTGGAAGAGGTACATCTCCCCTTGGTGAGTCTGTCACCTGCTGATGGAGGAGGGCCAGGACAGATCCACCCTAGGGAGACACCATTCCTGATGCTCCACTGCAGCTGCTTCTCCACCCTGGTAAGAAATGAAACTCAGCTGCAGGAGGGTGATTCTGTGTCCCTCTGGGTGCTGCCTTTGGCCACACCAGCAGAGATGCAGATTTCTGGGCTCAGCAGGGTACGAAGGAGGGCTGTGATTGATGCTGCATCCACTGGTAGAAATCATCTCCTGCATCCCCTCCCATGTAGTTGGTGGGACAAAATATAATGGCTCTGATTGTCCATTGGGGGATAAACCAGCAGGGATCAGGCTGCACTGCCACTGAGTGAGGACCTGCCTGGCTGTTCCTGGTGTCCTGCAGCAAGACTTCTGGGGGAAGAACCTTTTGCTGAGATCCAACCTGAGCCTGCCCTGACACAGCTCCAGCCATTCCCTGGGGGCCGTCCCTGGTCCCCACAGAGCAGGGATTCCATGGGATGAAGCAGCAGTTAAGGACAGCAGATGCTGGACATTCCCTGCTCCATCATCTCTGGAATGACAGGTTGTCATCCCATTTCACCAAAACTCTCAGCTCCCAAAACCAGTTTGCACAGTGTGGGAACCATCTGCCTGAAGGATCTGCAATGGCTTTGGCCCAACCCATTGACAGGAAGAGCCACGGGGTGGGAAAGGAGGGCCTGTCTTGAGATGGAATGACATCTCAGCCCCCTCCTGAGGGCAGCTTGGAAGAGAGATCTCCAAGGGCCCTCCCTGCAGTGGCACAAGGAGGGGCAGAGTTGGCTCAGCGATTTGGGCAGCAGCTCTGCAGGGATGGGACTGGGCTGTTCCCAAATCCCAGTGTGTGAGCTGTACCCTGAATCCTGCACATGTGTCTGCACTGCATTTGCTGCAGCTTATTGTCTTCATTAAAGAGAGACATATCACAGCCACTTTGTGGTGGCCTGTGTGGACAGTCCAGTTTAAAATAGGCTGATATTTATGTAGTCAATTATTACAAACAGATTTCCTTTATTTTCTAGCATAAGCCAGTGGAATTGAAAATTCTGTTTTCTCAGACAGGTAAACTTGAGTGATTTAATGTTTCAATCCTAGAGCAGCAAACAAGATATAATTGCGACTTGGACAATGTGTGGCAATTAGATTTAATGTGGGGAAGAATATGCTGTTTAATATTGATGGGGGAATGAGGGAATGCACAGGCTTAAATAAACCACAGAGAGAATAAAAGCCAGGAGTCAACAATACAGGGTGGAAACTTCTCCCCAAAACCCTGCCATAAATCAGGGCAGGGCAGGAGGTGGTACCTGCAGAACAGGGACCTGTAATCACTAGAGCAGCCTCAGCACCTGAGGGGGAATTCAGGCACCCAAGACCAGGACTGGAGGAGAACTGTGAGGAAACAGTTTGATGTTGTGTCAGGGCAGGCTCAGGGTGGATCTCAGCAAAAGGTTCTTCCCCCACAGGCTGGTTGGGCACTGAACAGGCTCCCCAGGGCAGTGGGCACAGCCCCAAGGCTGCCAGAGCTGCAGGAGGCTTTGGATGATCCTCTGGGGCACAGGGGGTGACTCTTGGGGATGGGGCTGTGCAGGGCTGAGGGTTGGACTGGATAATCTTTGTGGGTTCCCTCCAGCTCAGAATTCTTTGAATCTGTGACTCTCTCCTATGGGATGAGCAGCACCATCAATATGGGTCAGCATTTCTTCATCTGCTGTTGGCTGAAGAGTCATATTTGAAGGGCCCACCAATGGGCAGTTCATGGAATCCTTATGGTTGGAAAAGACCTTGAAGATCATCATTCCAGCCATCAACCCAGCGCCACCAACATGTTCCCCTCTAAGCCATGTCCATATCCAGGTGATTTTTGAACACTTCCAGGGATGGTAACTCCACCACAGCATGTTCCAGTGCTTTACAACCCATTCCTAATATCCAGCCTAGCCCTCCTCTGGCACAGCCTGAGCCCAGCTCTTCTGTGTCTGCAGGCACTTGTGGGTCCCTGACGAGCTGAGAGCGATGTCGTGCATGACCCACAGCACTGCCCAGCACTCCCCCTGTCCCTTCCCATGCCGTGGGGACCATGGAGCAGCCAGGGAATGCTGATGGCTCCTTCTGCTGCCCTGACTTGAAAGCTGGCCTTCACACTCCTACTTTAACTGTTCCTTCCCAATTGTTCCTTCCCAAAGCAGCTCCTGTGAGAGCTGCTGGAGCTCATTAATCCCTGGGGCTGGGGGTCTGCACTGACAGCTCTCAGAGGAGGAGAGTTTACAAACCAGGAGCCTCAGAGCTCAGCAGAGAATAAATAAAGCCCAGAGGAAGCAAATCTTACTGTTTTTTAACTGACTGTCTGCCAAAAGAAGGCGATTTGGAAATGTCAGGCCTAATTTGAATTTTTTGAATAATTCATTGTGTCTTTGTAGCGGAAAGTGATTGTTTGGTCCAAAAATAGGAGACATCCCATTAAGAAGAAGAGAAATTGCAATAGACTGGTAGCCATCAAAAATAACTGGCACGTTGCACTTCAAAGCCCCTTGTTCTGGCTGACTTGGGTGGGACCAGAGGCTGGGCTGAAGCACTTGCATGTTAATGCTACACCAGCCTCATCTTTGCAAGCAGATCTCCCGTTCTGCAATTTGGGTGAAGGATAAGCCTCCAAAATGAGGATCATATATATTCTAGAATAACCAAGTTAGACCAAATTTCAATAGGCTAACGGGGTGTTTCACTGTATCAAGTGAAAATAACCTGAACTGAGAAAACAATTTGTGACAATAGTGTGCTCATCTGGAGGAAATGGCTGCAGGCTGATTAGGGTTTCCTTCAAGGGTGTCTTTAATGAAAATTACTCCCAGCATTTGGGAAAAATAAAATGAAAAAAAGTAACTTGAGTCATTTCAGATGCACTTTAGTATTCAGCATCTGAAATGCAAATTTATGCATAATTGTGTTTGGACAACTATATGAGATTGCTGCTGTAGATGCTTCGAACCCTCACAGGAGACTCTGACATTATGCTTGGGTGCACAGGTTTTAAAAATTGCTTTTCTCAAGCCTTGCTGAGAATTACATTTGCTAATTCATTTGTTTCCTGAAAGTAAAACTAGACATGATATATGATCGGGGGTTATGTCTTTAAATCAATTTGACTGCTTGCACACATTTTGCAACACTTCTTCCCATGTTAAAACCCTTCCGGGAGTGCGAAATCCTCCTATCTCAGTGTCCTGCTATGGCCAGTGTGGGACTTTGCTCCTCAGACTATTTTTTCTTCCTCTATGGACTTGTCATGGCTTTAAATTATTGATACTTCCTTTCCATGACCAGTTTCTCCTAAGATGGGAGATGATGACCTACAGGCTATGAACGAAGAAGGAATCGCAATGTTGCTTCAGGGTTTGTGGCCAATGTTCAATAACAAGGTCAGGACAACTGCCCTGGTGGGTCAGCCCATGCTGACAGCCTGGAGAAGCTCCTGCCAGCCCCTCTGTTCTTCCACAGGCTGAGCTTTGATGCTGGATCAGGAGATTGTCTCCGAGTGTGTTATGGAGAAAGTGAAACACAGGTGCCCAAGAGGAAACCTCTGGGCTTGCACTGCCTGGTGGTTCTGTCGCTTCATGGCAAGTGCCAGCATGAGCCACCTGTCATCTGTGTTGCACCTTTGTGCTTGGGGTTACCCAGGACTTCACAGCCCTTTGACCACCTGACCCATCATTTTGAGATTCCCCAGAGCTGTAAAATCATGGAACAGAAATTGTGAGGAGGCAGAGACTCACCTGGGATGGCACAGGTGGGGTGTGTTTTGAAAGGTGGTTGCAGCTGTTCCTCATGTGTTAGTACCACTGCAAATATCCCACCTTTCCATTTAACCTCCTTTGTTTCTCTCATCTTCAAAGACCTTAAACCCTTTGTACTCCTGATTTTCTCTGTCCTCCCTAATCTGTTCTCCTCGGGGGAACCCAGCAGGTTCAGAGGGCGTGGCAGAGGTTTAATCCTGCCTTGTACCAGTCCCTCCTGGTGAGACAGGAACATTTCCCAGGGAAATCCACAGATCCTGGAAGGGCGGAGGAATCTGATTAGAGATCCCAGGGCTGCAGCATCTTCCAGGCATGGGGCAATACAGAAGTCCTCTGAGCTCCCGTTGGAATTGTTGGGTGTTGGGGACTTCCCCTTGAAGTTCTGCCCTTGCTTATTGCCAGACAAAATGGATTTTATTGTGGATGGTTAGAATTTCTCACAGGAATGGAATAAGAGAAAAAAAAATAACAAGAAAAATATGAAGAAGAAGAAGAAGATGATGATGAAAATGAAGGAGAAGAGGAAAAAGAAGAAAAAGCTGAAGAAGGAGAAGAAGAAGAAGAAAAAGATGAAGAAGGAGAAGAAAAGAAGAAGAAAAAGGAGGAGAAGAAGAAAAAGGAGGAGAAGAAGAAAAAGGAGGAGAAGAAGAAGAAGAAAAAAAAGAAGAAGGAGAAGAAAAGAAGAAGGAGGAGAAGAAGAAGAAAAGAAAAAGAAAAAGGGGAAAAAAAGAGAAAAAAATAGGGTTATAAGTCAAGTTCTAAAAAGCAGAAGTGCTTCCGTGGATATTTCCAAGGCCTGAGTTCAGCTGACACCTCTCCTTTCTCCCACACAGCAGTGTATGGGGCAGGTGTGTGTCCAAAGGCCTTGTTGAAGTTGTCACCCAGCAGCTCCCAGGACCGTGGCTGGTTCAGGGTGTTCCTGTCCTGGCCAAGGTGGAGGATCTGGGCTCCCTGCAGAAGTACTTGCTGGCCCCAGAGCAAGCCTGGTTTGCCCTAAGGAGGCTGGAGAGAGGTGGGGGTCAAGTTCTGCTCCCAGGGAAAAAGGGGCAGGACAAGAGGAAACAGCCTCAAGCTGTACCAGGGAAGGTTTAGATTGAACATTAGGGAAAATTTCTTCATAGAAATGGTTATACAGTCCTGGCACAGCTGTCCAAGGCAGTGGTGGAGTCACCATCCCTGGGAATGTTCAAAAAACATGTGGATGTGGCACTTGAGGAGATGATTTAGTGGTGAGCATGGTGGTGGTGGGTTGATGGTTGGACTTGGTGATCTTAAAGGTCTTTTCCAGTTTTAACCATTCCATGATTCTGGTGTTCAAAGCCTCAGTCACTCCATGCACAGCTTCCATTTGTTGGTGTTCCATCTCCAAGGGCACCTTCCTGTGTCCCTTGCTCTGGTGGGTGTCCAGCTGTGACCTTGTCCCTCTGGAGCCTGTCAGTGGGACCTGCAGGTCAGAATGGTCAGCACAGGAACAAACTGCAAAGATTTTGAACTGCTGGGTGTGCCAAGAATTGCCAAACGTGTGTGTGTGGGGGGGGGGGTGAGTTTCTTTGAGCAGATTTCAACTTTCGCTAAAGCTTCATGGATTTTTGTGGCCCCAGTACAGGGCACCTCTGCTGACCTCATGGCTGGAGGCACTGACATCCTGGGAAAGAACAGCTGGAATTTTCTAATGTGAATAGACTGACCCAATTCCCTCACCCTTGTTCTCAGCAATGGCTCAACTGATTTCAGTTAATCTTTCCAAAAACACTCAGCCTGAGGCAAAGAGAAACTGTAAGTCACATAAATTCTGGTGAAATGATAAGGGGACAAAAGGAAGTTTTTATAATGGAAACCAGTGATCAACATTATCTGATCATTCCATACAGGGGAAGCTGAGCCTGTGTTTGCAGGTTTTTTATTTACGGCCTTGCTTGGTTTGAATGGGGCAGAATCACAGATTAGTTGTTCAGGATATTGTCTAGTCCAACCCCATCCCCAAAGCAGGGACAGGTTATCTGGGACCTGGTCCAGTTGGCTTTGGAATTTTCTTAATTTTAGTCTCTCAGACCCTGGGAACCCTCTGCAGAGCACCTCGAGTTCAAGAGGGCTGTGTTGTTGATGTGCAGAACCCCTTTTTGGCCAGGCAGTGATGTTCCAGCTCTTCTGCCTGAACAAAAGTGATCCAGGTTTCTCAAAGCTTTAAAACTAATTAATTGCTGCATAAAGGATAAGACAAACCTTTCTCTTTATCTCCCTTGGCTGAATCATATCTTAATTTGTTGTGTGTTTCCCTGCTGTGGAAGGAACTGTGATTACATTTGCAGACAACACATGAAGTTAAAAAGAAAATCTTGCACTGCAAAGCGATAGATGAGGAGAGGAGGGAGGGGAAGTGGAGGAGAGGAGGGGAGAGGACTTGACTTAACAAACATTTGGACAGTTTTGGAGTAGATCATCAAAGACTTTGGTGTCCTGCCCTGGCAGTGAATGAGAACAGCTCTGAACCTTTGAAAATTGGCTCTAACAAATCTTCACTCCACAAGTCCAAACAGAAAAAGAAAAAAAGGGGACAACTGAGGAACACCCCTTTACTGTCCCACAGCTTTTCCTCCCAGTAGTGTGTTTACAGCAGAGAAGGTGAGGATGCAGGAATGTGCAATAGAAGGTGTTCAGGAAAACCCCAAACTCTTGAAGCCCTTCACAGTCCATGACCAGCAGTGAGTGTGTGGGGTGAGCTGCTGTTCCTCACGTTCCAGCCCAGCTTCTGCTTGAACAGCCTCTGCTAAACAACTGTTAGTGCTGATTGTGCCCTTTCTCCCACAGGGAGAGCTGACCATGACCAGTGACATGGAGAGCCTGCAGAATGCCCTCTTCCTGGACATGGTGCCCGAGTCCTGGGGCAGGAGGTCTTACCCTTCCACAGCCAGCCTGGGCACGTGGTTCACCGACCTCCTCGCCCGCATCAGCGAGCTGGACACCTGGACTGGAGACTTCTCCTTGCCCTCCACCGTGTGGCTCGGTGGGTTCTTCAACCCCCAGTCCATCCTGACAGCCATCATGCAGACCACAGCCCGCAAGAACAAGTGGCCTTTGGACAGGATGGCCCTGCAGTGTGATGTGACGAAGAAGAGCAGAGAGGATTTTGCCAGCCCCCCTCGGGAAGGGGCCTATGTCCATGGGCTGTTCATGGAAGGAGCACGCTGGGATGCACAGGTGAGCTCACCAAGGCTCTTTGGTTGGGAGGGAAGCCATGGATGTCATGTCCTTATTCCCTGGCACTCAGGAAACTTCTCAGCCTGGACAGGCTCTCATCTGAAATAGCCATCTGAGCTGCCTCTTCAGGAAGGACAGATGGGAGATCTGGGCCTCTCCTGGGTGGCCCAGAGTGGGTGGCTAAGGTAGTCAGAGGAATCACCCTTTGGAGCTCAGATCCATGGCTGGGAAGGGAGTCCAGGGTGCTCAGCTTGGACTGACACATCCAGCCTGTCCAAGGTGAACTCAGCCCAGGGGCACATCGACTGAGCTGTGGGCAGTACTTGAGGTGCTGCCACAGACACACCTGGCAGAGGACCTGGCACTGTCCCCACACCTCCACATGGTGTGGTTTCACTGCTGCCTCCAAAAGGGACAGATTTTTGTGGGATCACTACTCTGTTGCCTGTTTGGCAGCAGTGGGGAGAGAGGAGAGGGCTCTGATTTCCTACGTGCTCACATCCTCAGGGCTGGATGGGTGGGGTGTGCCACCCCCACAGCACTGTGCTTCCACTGTCAGGTGCTGCAGGATGTGACCAGAAATGAATCACATTCTTTATCCATTCCCTTAGTCAGGCTTGATGAAGGTCTAACCCATGTGGTCCACGTGGACTCAGGCTAGTGACTTTAGGAGGGGGGGTGGGCTGACCCTGGACAAGCAGAACACAGTGAGTGTCCCTTGCTCTTCCTTCCCCCTCTGGATGAGGGGATACCTTTCAGCTGGAGCACAGCCTCAGGTAGCCAAGGCTGGGACCATACCCGCCCCTTGGGCACCTGCCTGAGGAGCTGTGGCCTCCTCTTGGAACAGCATCCCAAGGAGCACAGCTCTCCCTGTGAGTCCTTCTGACAGTTGTCAGCTGCAGGAGCACAGCCTGCAGAGCCAGAGCCCTCAGACTGACAGTTCCCACTGGGTCTGGCTCTGTGAGCTGCCTGGCCTGTGGGGCTGTGATTCCCAGTGTGTGCTGTGTGTGGGAATCCAAGGACAGTGGTTCCTGCAGCTCTTCCTGTGCTCTGCTGCTGCTGCTGCCAGGGATCTGTGAGAGAGAGAACACTGACCAAAGTGGGTCACCCAGAACCTTCTGATCTGTGTCAAGTTTACCCTCTTACAAGAAGAGGCTTTTGTGTCAGACACAGCTCTTTACCCAGACCCAGCTCTTCAGACTCCAAGTCTTAACCTTGAAGATGTCACTTTATCTGCTGTGGGACTTGGTGGGCAGCTGCTGAGGAGCCTGTGAGATCCTGAATCCCAGGCTGACCTTGCAGTTAATGTCCAACACTCACTACTTACTTGTCAGCTCCCTCTCTGCAATGGTTCTTCATGAAGGACGGGAAATCAGGCAAAGCTTTGACCTCACTGAGTGCTACCATCCAGTGCACTTGATCCCAAATCCTTGGGAAGGTCAAACTTGCAGGTCCTTTTTCACTCTGGAGATGGGCTGATGTGTACATTGGGTCTGGAAAGCTACAGGCAGTCAGGAACATGGGCACAGGCAGTTTGCAATCAAGGGGTTGCAGTGAAGGTCTCGTGTGGGTGTCGTGTCAGATCCCCTCCATGGTTTTGCTCTGCTCGCAGCAGAAGTCCCAGCAGCAGAACAGAGACCAGCCCAGTCCATTTCCCAGCCCTGGTCCCACAGTTCCCTGACCATTCCCTGCTCTGTGATGTGGCTGCCACACACAAACCCCCTGGCATCACCACCCTCACCACAGGGAGCACTGCACTTCAGCTGCCCTCAAACCCCGACATCTGACAGATACAAATCAGCTGGACCAACACAACACAACAGAGAAAGTTTAAAAAAACTCCTGGTCATGCATATCAAATACTCCATTTAAAAGAATTCCAGTGACTGGGGTTACATTTTCCTTTACCACCCTTGCCACCATTACTAGAACTGAGTTCTGCCCAGGTTTTGCCTGGGTTTTTCCCAGCTCCAGGCAGGGCTGGTAGGGAAGAGTAAGAAGTTTTGGTGGTGCAAAGCCAGAAATCTTTCGGGAAACACGTGGCTTCTCCCCTCTGCCTCCCCCTAATAACTCGTGCAGGTGATTGCATTCAGCAATGAGCTTTGTCTGCAGGGACCATCCCAGTTCAGCAACTGTGTTTTTCTGATTACATTTTCCTTGTGATTGAAAGATACTGAGCAAGTACCTTTATGGAACCATTCATAATCTCTGGGTATCATGCTTCAATTTATTTCAGAAAGGAAAAGGATATTTTCATGGGTTGCTGCTCACACTGAAATATCATTTCCACTGAGTGGAACTATTAATTTGACCTGTAATCCAGTGAGCACCAGTATATTAATGGATGCAGGACTTTTAAAACAGGTGCACATCTCTTTTGGGTTGTATACTCCTTCCAAATTACTCCTCTGATAAAAATGGCAGGCTGTATTTAGAAGAATCCTCTGTGGAACACCTCCACTCTTAAAAGAATATTTCACATTTATTTTGTGCCTCCAAAAAAGGGAAAAAGTCCCTCTATGTTCTGCCACGCACATTTTTCTATTTATTTAAACATTTATGTTTGCCCTTGGGTGTCTTAAATTTATAAAACATTCATTACAAACCAGCAGGCAGCTATTAGATGAAATGAAACTAAGCAGATTATTTTGGGTGCAAATGATGTGTTGCTGCAGCCCTGTTCCAGTCAGTGGCACTCAGTGAGAGGTGCTTTGACTGAGGACACTCTGAGGCATTTTATCTCAAACCAGGGGAGCCTTGCTGATGGATTCCTGGCCTTCCTGCTCCCAGCAATGCCGAGTTTGATGCCCAGTGTGTGTACCCTGCAACTCCCCAAGGGGAGAGGTGGCTTTTACACCACGTGTGGTAAGAGAAGCCTTGCCATGTGCAGACAGCCCAGCCCATGGAATCATGGAGTGGGTTGGGTTGGAAAGGACCTTAAAGCTCCTCTAATGGGCAGGGACACCTCCCACCAGCCCAGGTTGCTCCAACCCCGTCCAACCTGGCCTTGGACACTTCCAGGGATGGGGCAGCCACAGCTTCTCTGGGCAACCTGTGCCAGGGCCTGCCCACCCTCACAGGGAAGAATTTCTTCTCATTTCCCTAGTCCAGTTGAAGCCACAAACCCCATCACTCTCTGGACCCCTTTGGGGTGATGTTTCTGCTGCTCCTCTACTGGTCACCAACCCCTTTACCCCGCAATCAGTGGCCCAAAGGCGGCCGAGCTGGGGGTCCTTGGGCCAACTGACCCCAGCTGGGCTGTGCTGGGAGGGCACCTGTGCTGGTGACACCTCAGTGTGCACACAGAGTGAGGGGGTGATGGGTGTTGTCTCACTGGACCTGGAGCTGGGCCCATCATTCCCCATCCCTGCCTTGTGAGAGCTGGTTTGTGTCTTCAGACCCGCTGACCTGTCCCCTCTCAGTGGCCTGGTGGGAAGGCAGGACAAGCAGAAGGAGCTTTGTCAGGACCTGAGGCCTGAGCTCTCTGAGCTTTGCACCAGGAAAAGCTTTGCCAGTAGTCAGGAAAAAAATTGCTTTCAGAGTAGAATTAATTTCTGATCTTAAGAGCAATAAAAAATGCAAATGCAAATCAGCCCAGACATAACAAAATGCTGTGTTACATGAAGTTACCTCAGAAAGATTTCAGCTCTTGTTAACCCAGAAACAGGTAGAATATCTCTTGGAAATTTGATTTGAAGCATTCCCAGCAGTTAAAAAAAAAAAAAGAAAGAGAACTGATCAAAATCCAGTCTCAGAACTGAAAGATGTAGATTTCAAAAGAGTGCATAAAAATGTTTAATAAATAGCTACTTTTCAAGGTGTTATAAGAATTATTTAATGTTTGTTCAGCACACTGAAAATATAAAATCCTAAATGAAAGCTGGATTTATCACAGCTCAGTATAACAGATGGCATTAGTACAATTAAACTGAGGTGTGTGGCAAGAGGGATTATTTTTCTTCACTCATTTGCAGAACTAAATAAACTCCTGGAGAGGCTGAACCTCATCCCAGAGCCCTGACGTAAGAGAACTGGAAATAATAATGATATGTGAGGCTCAGCTGCAGGGAAAGGCCGTTTCTTTAGCGCTGAAAAGCTTTTTATTTCTCTTCCTCTATTTGTTTTCATTTGGTCTCTCCAGCCTCCATTAAACAATTTTGCAGCTCCCTGGAAAGGGATTGATGTGCAGGGCATTTTATTGTCAGAAGGGGAGACAGAAGATCCCAGAGAAACCCAAATGGGAGAAACAAGCTGGTGATTTCTTGCCCTTGTCCTGTGCTGGGCAGCCTGGGCAGGGCATTGCTCGGAAGGGGATAGCGGGGATTTATATTTAATGACAATATTCCCTCAGGAATTGTTGAATCCTACTTGTTGGTGTGAGCACCTGTGAGAGGGGAAACCAGCCTGTGGTGCCTTTTGGGGCCACACAAACCACTGTGTGCATCTCACTTCCCAGACAAGTGCTCAGATTTTGGTGGTGGGATGGAACCTCACTTGGTGACTTTCAGTGAGTGTTGCTCTCCATCCCCAGCCCAGTTCAGGTGCCCAGCATTGCTCCTGCCACAAGCAACACCTCCCACGAGGGGAGTCTGCTCTGGCAAAACCTTGAGAAAGAGCTGCATGAGAATAATCCCAGAATCCCAGAATCCTTGAGGTTGGAAAAGCCCTCCCAGCCCATGGATCCCCCCTGTGCCCCATCCCCACCCTGTCCCCAGCCCAGAGCACTGAGTGCCACGGCCAGGCCTGCCTTGGACACCTCCAGGGCTGGGCACTCCAAAGCTCCCTGGGCAGCCCGTGCCAGGGCCTGACCACCCTTTCCAGGAAGAAATTCCTCCTGATGTCCAACCTGCCCCTCCCCTGGCCCAGCCTGAGGCTGTGTCCTCTTATCCTGTCCCTTGTTGCCTGGCAATAGGACAAGAGGAAATGGCCTCAAGCTGCACCACAGTAGAAGCCAGAACAAGAGAAGTGAAAACTTTGTTCATGAAGTGGCTGGACAGAGCCAAGAACATTGTTCCCCCACACAGTCCTGCTCAGGTGTGTGTGGATTTGAGCATCTGATGGGAGGCAGGCTCTGTACCCTCGAGATAACCTTCGCTGAGAGAGGTTCATGGTGAGACAGGGCAGGTGTTGGATCCAGACCCTCCTTCCCTCAGACTCATCCAGCCTCTTTGAGCTCAGGAAAGCTGTTTGCACTTCCCCAGTAAGACCAACCTGTATAAAAATCACAGATGATGCTGTGATGGAGCAGCTGATGGACACCTTGGAAATCTAAGCTTTGTCTCCTTTCCTTTGCAGGCCGGGCTGATCACCGATGCCAGGCTCAAGGAGCTCACCCCAGCCATGCCCGTCCTGTTCATCAGGGCCATCCCTGCTGACAAGCAGGATACCAGGGGCATGTATCCCTGTCCTCTGTACAAAACACGCCAGAGAGGCCCAACTTACGTGTGGACATTTAACCTTAAAACCAAGGACAGCCCTGCCAAGTGGGTGCTGGCTGGGGTGGCCCTGCTGCTGCAGGTCTAGGGGCACCACCACGCCCCTCTTTGCAAATCCCAGCATTGCCTTTCTCAGGCAATTTAAACACTTAAATGCTGAGGTTTTGCCCAAGCCAATGTCCATAACAGAGCCTGGGAGGGGTGACAGAGCTGCAGAGGGACATGTGGAGCAGGCTGGTGGCTGCTGTAAATCCAGAGCCTGTAATTCTTGCACTGCTGCACTGGAGCACTGGAAGATCCCAGCCTGCAGCCTGATATTCCACACCTCTGAGATTAAATGTAAATCTAATTTTTATTTCTAGTTCATGTTCCAAAGTAGTTTTAAAATTAGTGGACTTTTCCAAATCTCTCAGATAGTCCAGTCACTTGTGAAATTCTCCAGACCTTGTTCTTTGCTGTTTCTTTGCCACGTGTATGATGTTGAAAGCTGAGAGGTGAGCAGATGTTGTGGTTATAAACTGTTTCTTGCTAATTTTCTAAATTTTAGAAACACTGAAAATAGTGTTATTATCCAATGTGCTTAATGGAATCAACAGTAAAAATACAGCACAGGAGTTATTTTAAAGAATTTTTCATGGTCATAGAGACTTACTGGGTCTGGCTGAGCTGGAATTCCTTTCCCCCCCAGCAGCTCTCCCAGTGCTGTGCTCTGCACTGGCAGCCAGAAGGGTGTTGATAACACACCGATGTTTTGGCTCCCACTGAGCATCAGCACTACAACGTTCCTTCCTCCATCAAAGGGAGATGCTGGGAGGGGACACAGCCAGGCCATCTGCCCCAAGCTGGCCAAAGGGATGTTCCAGACCCTGTGATGTCAGCTCAGATATAAAAGCTGAGGCAGGAGCAGGAAGGGGGGCATTCATTGTCTCTGAGGTCCCTGAGCTGCAGCCCTGCTGATGGGGAGCACCCATGGCTGCTCGTGGGGAGCAGGGAACAAACCCTGATAACTTCTGCTTTGCTTTTGTGCACACAGACTTCTGCTCTGCTGTTTGCTTTAAATAAACTGCCTTGTCCCAACCCACCAGGTGTTTTCCCACCTTACTCTCTCCCCTGGCTGGGAAGGGGAGTGATGGAGCTGCTGGGTGAGCACCCGGCGTCCAGCCAAGGAAACCACCACAGTCCAGTGGGGGGGCGAGATAAAAGCAGTTGTGTATATATATATATATATTTTTTTTTTTCATGCTATAGGAATAGTAGCTATTGAATAGCAAGCTCCTGTGCAGGACACAGAGTTTGCTGGCTGCACTGCTTATCATTTTATTTTGCTAAGTTTTGGGAACATACTAATCTAAACAGTGCTTTGCTTTTACACTAATGGCCTTGCTGTGCTTGGGGAGTTGTCTTCTGGGGAGCTATCTGGGAACAGTGGAGAAATACACCCTTCCCCCCTCCCTGGCATTGATATAAATGGCTTTAGAATGAAGTCTGCTGCACTCCTGGATAATCCTTATGGGAGCTGTTTGGAAATGTTACTGTTACTGACTAATACTGTCAGCACATTACGGAGTTCTTGGAATCTGGTGTTCTCCTGGTGCAGGAGGAAACATACTTTAGGTGATGATTGATACACTGGGGTGTGCCCTGAGGTGCCCAGTTGCTGGGTGGCAGGGTGTGTAAGGACCTGGGCAGGCTCCTAGGGCGTTTGACACCTCCCATTCCCTGGGGCTTCACACCTGAACAGGTATTTGACCCCAGCAAACTGACACATCACCTGATGGAAGGGTGCCTTGCCTACCCCAATCAAAACCAGCAGCTTCTTGCTCTGTACTGGGGCCTGGCCTGTGCTTATCCAGCCACAGTTCAATGTTCTCAAAAGACTGTAGTGGAGGCAGGGATCCAAACTGCAATAGAGGACACTGTGGGTGAGGTGGGGACTGAAACCACAACAACAACAGTCATTGCCCCAGGAGTGACAAAGAAGAAATGGATAAGGCAAGCAACAGGTTCCTAGCAGTGATTAGTAAGGGAGGGAGAGGAGGAAGAGGAAGAAGGAGAAGGAGTAGAAGGAGGGGAGGGGGCAGATAAAAAAGCTGGTCCTTCAACAGAGGAAGTCAGACAAATCAAAGAGGGATCTGAGGTTACCCCGTCCCTGACTCGTCAGGACTCCAGGACTTAGAGAAAGATCACAGCCACCATCCTGCCTGGCTGCTTCGATGCTGGGACAGCAGGGCTGACCGTCAACAACTGCAAGGTGATGAAACCCAACAGCTGGGATCCCTTGCCAGAGATGGCAACACTGAAAGAGGAATTGCAAAGCAGAGAACAATTTACAGCCTTTGGAAACGGCTGCTCTTGGGTGTGAGGGAAAGGTGTCCATTCAAGGAAGATCTAATGAACTCCCCAAGGAAGTGGGTTACTGCAGATGAAGGTATCCAGTACTTGAGAGAATTAGCAGTGCTGGAAATCATCTGTAGTACTCTAAGAAGGGATGACACCCCCAAAGACCCAGAGGATGTTGCTTGCATGCTGGCTACGTGGAGGAAGGTGGTTCAAAGCACCCCTGTGTCATATTCCAGCAGTCTGGTGACATTATACTACCCAAAGATGGATCCACCAACTGTAGAGGATGCTTGTGGGAAGTGGAGAATAAACTGTGTTCTCTTTGCCTGGCTTCTGCTTTAATAAACTGCCTTGTCCCAACCCACCAGGTGTTTTCCCACCTTTCTCTCTGCCCTGTCTGGCTGGGAAGGGGGCTGATGGAGCGGCTGGGTGGGCACCCGGCATCCAGCCAAGGAAACCACCACACTAATAAAAGTCATTGTTCCTGGACTGGTCTCTAGAAGTTGCCTGTAGGCCTGTGCCATGTGTTTAATCACGGCACAGAGAGCAAACAGGGGGTCAGGTGGGAGGAACAAACCTGCCTGGGAGTTTAACATTTATCATCCTGACTGGGGTGGCTGAGAACTGATGTGTTCCCAGAGCAGAGCTGGGTGTGCAGGCCTTAGTGAGCCAGAGACACACAGAGCATTGCTCTGGACTGCAGGGGCTGAGCCCTGGGAGTTGGGAATCCCAGAATCCCAGAATGTGCTGAGCTGGAAGGGACCCCCAAGGATCATCCAGTCCAACCCTCAG